ATTTGCCATTTTCCCATAGATCCCGAGCTACTGGAGACTTGAGGCCATCCCTTATCCACCTTTGTTATTTTATAGTTATCTGCCTATCACACTGTCTACAAATAGGTTCTCCAAAAATATCTATTGAATAACTGAACTTTACCAAAAAATCCAGCAAATATTGTGTGCCTCTACCATGCCCCACGATACTTAGCCTTCTTATTTCTTCTCAAATAATGCTAATGACACATAATTTGGAGAGATCAACCAAGATTTTGTCTTTATCTGAAAAAAAATTAATTTGATATTTTTGGGAATGGAGATTAGGAAAGGAAACAAAGAGGTAAATAGAATATAGTCAGATTTTGTAAACAAAACACACATAAGGGAAAGAATAAATTTATGGAACGTATGCCTTGCAAAAATAAATTACAAGTTTGGGATCTTTTAAAGGATATTCCATTCATGTTTAAGATATGTTGTATTTCTAACGAGCAAGATTCTGCTGAAAAGTAAAATTGATTTTGCACTTCCTGAACAAACCCAATTCTGGAACTCCCTAGCCTGTGACAATTATAATAATGTTTTAAGAGAAATGGATACTGTTTAAGTAAATAGCCAAATAATTGTGTCTTACTGATCACTCAAATCTAAGAATGCATTTTTTAAATTATTTTAAGCATAAGTGTAAATAAATTCATCCAGTGAACTAGAAGAATTCTTAACAGTCTGGTGGAATAAAATATAAACAGCCATCAATTAGTTTACATTTTACTGATAACACCTAAGTATTCTCCATAATTCAAGAATTGTATTCCACTCATCTAAAACAAATAAAATGTACAGCATGCCAAGGGGAAGAATAGCTTTTAAAAGGTAGTAAATTTCACTAGAAATAACAAAGCACATAGAAATGTTGGGATAGATTATAATCCTAAAGTTTTAACCAAATGTAACTGAAAAAAGTTAAAATTCAGGAAGTCATTTTTATTTTTTAAAAAAACAAATTAAGTGTGGGCACCCAGAACTTTAGGAGACCAAGACAGAAAAATCACTCAAACAAATTAGCAAGAAAAAAAAACAAACAACCCCATTAAAAAGTGGGCAAAAGATATGAACAGATGCTTTTCCAAAGAAGACAGAAAATGGCCAACAAATATATAATAAAATGCTCAACATCACTAATCATCAGGAAAATGAAAATTAAAACCACAACGAGATATCACTTTACCCCTGTTAGAATGGCTTTTGTTAAAAAGTCCAAAAACAATAGATGCTGGTATTGATGTAGAGAGAAAGGAATGCTTATACAATGGTTGGTGGCACTGCAAATTAATACAACCTCTATGGAAAAGAGCATAGAGATTTCTCAAAGAACTAAAAGTAGATCTATCATTTGACCCAGCAATCCCACTACTGGGTTATCTACCCAAAGGAAAAGAAGTCATTTTATCAAAAAGACAGACACTGTACTCAAATGTTTATCGCAGTACAATTCACAACTGCAAAGATGTGGAATCAATCCAAGTGCCCATCAATTTATGAGTGAATTAACAAAATGTGGTATGTGTGTGGTCCACACATACACCATGGACTACTACTCAGCCACAGAAAGGAATGAATTACTGTCTGTTGCAGCATTTTGGATAGAACTGAAGACCATTATCCTAAGTGAAGTAGATCAAGAATGGAAAAACAACCACCACATGTACTGTAATAATTCGGAACTAATTCATGGACACAGAAAGAAGTAAAAATCATTGGAAATCAAAAAGAGAGGATGAGGGAGGAGGAGAGGAGTAAAAACCTACCTAACAGGTGCAATGAACACTATTCACATGATAGGCACATTTACAACCCTGACTAAAGCATTATATAATAAAAGCTATCCATGTAACAAAAACATTTGTACCTCCTTAATATTCTGAAAATTAAAAAAAAAAAAAAACCTTCCAAAGATTTCCCATAGTCCTCAGGACAAATATAAATTCCTTGAGGGGCCCACAAAAGTCCTTTTTGATGGGAACAAGACTCATCTTTTACCTTCTCAACCCTTCAACTTTGCCTTCCAGCCATAGGCAATGTTGTTATCATCTGTGAAGGTACAATGTTCTTTTTCACCTTGAGTGATACAGGTGCTGTTTTCTACTTTGGAATATTATTTTCTTCTTTATCTTCACTTGCCTGCCCCTTCCCAGATTTGCCTAGCCAACTCGTATCTTTTCAAGTCTTCCTTTTTTTTTTTTGAGACAGAGTCTCACTCTGTTGCCCTGGCTAGAATGCTGTGGTGTCAGCCTAGCTCAAACTAGTTCAAGGCTGCAGTGAGCTAAGATCCCTCCACTGCACTCCACCCAGCCTGGGTGACAGAGCAAGACCCTGGCTCAAATAAAACCTAGATCAAAAAACTTATAAGTCTCTTCTAAACATAGGACATTGATTTTTGAACTTATTATATGGAATTTATAATTAACAGTTCTGAATAAACTAAAAACTACATGATAAAGCTAGCACAATAACTTAGCTTTGGACTATTTACATGGAACACTTTTCTTTTAGCAACCTGTTGAGACCCCTCCAAATATCTCTAAACGTTATCCCCTAACCGCTTTAGACAACTTAATGAATTGTCTTCATACACCCCTTTGTTCAAATCCACAGTTCCTTCTGGTCACAAATTTTTCACCCTCCTCAAAACTTTAATAAGTGTTAACTATAGGCCAGGTGCAGCGGCTCACGCCTGTAATCCTAGCACTCTGGGAGGCCGAGGCGGACGGATTGCTCGAGGTCAGGAGTTCGAAACCAGCCTGAGCAAGAGCAAGACCCGTGTTCTAATATAAATAGAAAGAAATTAATTGGCCAACTAATATACATAGAAAAAATTAGCCAGGCATGGTGGCACATGTCTATAGTCTCAGCTACTCGAGAGGCTGAGGCAGTAGGATTGCTTGAGCCCAGGAGTTTGAGGCTGCTGTGAGCTAGGCTGACGCCACCAGGACACTAACTGTAGCCTGGGCAACAAAGCGAGACTTTGTCTCAAAAAAAAAAAAGTGTTAACTATACATAGTACCTCCAGAATATGTAAATACACAAAAGAAAAAAAATATGTAAATACATATAAGAATATATACAAACATCCTTACATTCAAGATCCCATCCTCTGATGTCTTATAATCCAGCCATGGGAAAAGGTCAAATGTCCAAGATAAGATACTTCAAGTACTCAATTGATAAGGACATTCAACTACAGTCTGTGCTTCCGTTCCCCTTCCTGGAATGCTTTTCTCCTGGCTGGATTCTCTCATCTTTCAAATCGCAGAGATCTTTCCTGACACCACCTACCTATTTTCTAACAAGCATTCCATTCCTTTCCTTCACTGCTTTTTCTCTGCCTGTAATTATGTATTTGGATGTTTGGTTGCTAGTCTCTTATCTGTATCCAAAAACACAATAAATACTTCACATACAGGAGTATGGCCAGTAATTAGCAAAGCACTTAAAAAACACTAGATAAATGAATGCATAGGTCTGGTGCTCAGGAGAAAGGGCTGGGATAAGAAACTAGGGTACAGATTAGCATGAAAATTGCTAAGATCACCAGTGGGAAGTGTTTAGAGTTAGAAGAGAAGAGAACCTAGAATCAAGACCTGAAGAAGTTCACATTTTGGTCAGGAACAGTGGCTCAGGCCTGTAATCCTAGCACTCTGGGAGGCTGAGGCAAGAGGATCGCTTGAGCTCAGGAGTTTGAGACCAGTCTAAGCAAAAGTGAGACCTTTGTCTCTACAAATAATAGAAGAATTAGCCGGGCATCTTGTTGCACATCTGTAGTTCCAGCTACTCCGGGAGGCTGAGGCAGAAGGATTGCTTGAGCCCAGGAGTTTGAGGTTGTTGTGAGCTAGGCTGACACCACGGCACTCCAACAAAGGTGACAGAGCCAGACTCTTGTCTCAAAAAAAAGGAAAAAAAGTTCACATTTAGAGTTTGGGTTGAACAGGTGGACATTAGGATAGAGAAGTCAGATAAATCAAAAGGAAACTAAAGAAAGAGTGTGCTTTGAGAATATTCAGCTATAGAATGCTGCCAAGAGATCTAGTAAAAAGTGAACAGAAAAGGATCCACTAGATTTCCTGTCGCTGGAGGTTACTGGTAACTTTAGTGAGGGCCATTTCAGAGCAGCGTAGGATCTGACAGCAAACTGCACAGTGATTCTGAGATGAAGAGGTGGAGGCACTACCCCGTAATTAAACTGTGAAGGGCGACAGAGAGACAGATAATAGATGGAGACCTCTAGTAACCAGGAAAAATGACCCTGTACGCTCAGGAGTTAAAGAGTGCGGCGTTATCTGCATAGCCTGAGATCAAATTAACAGGACAAGCAAAGCTCACAAGCCTGAAGTACGCGAGCGCACCGAGATAATCCTAAAAAGTACTTAAGCAGTCAGGCCATTGTGAGATTCAACGTCAGTCGTTTTGCTTGTTGTATAAATTGTCTCATGAGACTGTAAGTGCCCGATTAGGTAGCGCAAGGACCATGTCTGCTTTATCCGTCGCTGCATTGCCCGGACCTCGCACAGTGCTTTGCATACAGCAGGCGCTCGACCAACAAATCTATTCAGAAGTAGTGTAATAGCTGCATTGCTTGTGTCTCTCCTCCAATTCATTTTATGTATTTTTTAATGGTGAGATCACCGTGTCACTGAGGCACGAAAGTGTAATAACTACTACTAGCATTACTGTCATTAGGCCTTACTTCCCTGTCAGACTCTTAAGTTTCTTGGAAACAGAACTCATGTCCGCGCATCCCGGGACACGCTCGACGCCTCGCGGAGGGTAAGGCTACACCCCCCTGACCGGCACAAACGGCTTCCAAGCAGCCCTGTCAGGCTTCTCAGAGAGACCCCAGGCCCGCCCACCCCGCCGCCCCGGCGCGGAGCGGCCCGAGCCGCCGACTCCCCGGCAGGGGGCGCCGCAGCCGCTCCGAAGGCCGCCGCCGGCCGCACGCCCCGCCCCGGCCCCGCGCTCACCTGCAGCGGCTGCACTCGGGCCTCCGCTCGGCCGGCTCCACTGGCAGCTCCCACAGCCCGTCCGCACAAGCGCCGTCCGCCTCTGCGTCCAAGGCAGCCGCCGCCGCCGGCGCTGCGCCGCCCTCCCGCTGCTCCTCCTCGTTCGGCGTCTGAGACCGCGAGGCCGCAGGCGGCCGCACCGCGGGCTCGCAGAGCGTTCGCGCCTCTTTCTGCGGCTCCATGGCAGGCGCCCGGGTCAGGCCGTCGCATTGGAGCCTCGCTACCGCCGGGGGGCGCCACGCGCTGGGGAAACCGGGCCGTGTCGCACAGCGACACGCACACGCACGCACGCCACGTACGGGGGGCGGGGCTCGGAAGCGCAGGCTCGAGGTCCCGCCCCGCTGCCGGAAAGCAAGGAGCCCATTGGTCCCTGCCCACTGGGACATTTCACCTAGAACCAGGAAGGAAAGTGTGGAGAGTGCTGGAGTGCAGGTGAGATTAGGTGGCGTCGCTGGGAGAAGTAAAGGAAGCCTCTCTGAAAGCATCCCAGTAACAAGCCAGAATTTAACTCTCTTAGTTTAACCCTTTAAAAATGAAAATAGGACCGGGCGCGGTGGCTCACGCCTGTAATCCCAGCACTCTGGGAGGCCGAGGCGGGCGGATTGCTCGAGGTCAGGAGTTCGAGATCAGCCCGAGCAAGAAGCGAGCCCCCCCCATCTCTACTGTAGATAGAAAGAAATTAATTGGCCAACTAAAATATATAGAGAAAAATATTAGCCGGGCATGGTGGCGCATGCCTGTAGTCCCGAGTAGCTGGGTACTCGAGTCTACCCAGTCTGGGTAACAGAGCAGGACTCTGTCTCAAAGGTTCTGCATTTTCCGTCTTAGAATGCCAATTTAATAATTTGCAGGATACCCACGGTGAGTGCATGCATAGCAGTTGCAACAGTTGATGTACGTGATGGTTAAAGGCCAACGAAGGAGAGGTCGTGTCCACTGAAACCTAGAGTCATGTCTGATCCATTTCATTATGTGAATTTCTTGCTCGAGAAGGGCAGAAACCTGTGTCCTGTGTCTTGTACTTCTTTGGTATTTCTTCTCGGCAGCAACAGCAGTACTAGTTTACATTAGACACCAACTATTTGTTAAATGAGGTTTTTAAATTGTCCACAACCCCTAGGATCAGGAGGCAATAGGAGAGCTGGGCTGAGGTACAAATAGATTTTATGTTTGAGAAAAGAAGCCCTAGAAAGGTAACTACGTTGCCCAAGTGTTTGTAACTACTGAATTAACAGCAGAGTAACTTGGTAGCTCGGGGTTGTGTTGTTTTGTTTAGTTTTTGCTTTATCAAGCTTCCCAGATAATCAGGGTTTTTTAAATGCCAAAATGAAGTCTATGTTAGAAGGAAGTCAGAAATGCTATTTGCTCAAAATGAGTGCTGATTTCTTGTCTTTATTCATGCTTTCTGTTACTTCTGCCAATATACAACATTTAAACAGAGAATTAAACTTGGTTTTCTTTGGTCTTATGAGTGAAATTTTGCAATCACAATTATCTTTTTTTTAAAAAAATTTTTTTAAAGCCAGTCAAATTTAGCAGTGGGGGGGGGGTGAATACCAACTTTAGTGACACTAATGGTAATAAGTTCTGATAACCCACTACCATCGGACCAGCCTATCACAATTATCTTGACTCCATAGTTATAAAGGATTAAATGTGAAACAAAGACACACCACTAACAGAGTAATAAAGCAATATTGTATTTCTTTTTTTTTTCTTAATAAAAAGCCTTCACAATATTGTATTTCTTAAAGTGTTTCACTATTAGATTTTTCAGTCATCTTAAAATCAAGTTTGTGTATAGAATAAGAATACAAAGCTATTATTTTCAACTATCCTGCATTCTTTTCCCCTGGAAACAGTATCCCCCTTTTCTTTTGGAGTACCCTAAGTGGCAGATAGAAAGACTGAAACACCCAACTGGTGATAGATATATGGTGGAAGAAAGAACTGGCACTTAGGCCATCTGGAATTGGGGGATAAACCAAACCCAGAAACTGTGGTCTACTATAGGGCATATTAAGTCCAGTGTTTCTTTTTTCATTTTCTGTCTGATCAGTTCAATGCTGAAAGTGAAGTGTTGAGGTCTCCAATGATCATTGTATGGGGTCTATTTCTCTCTTTAGCTCTGATAGTATTTGCTTTATATATATGAGTACTCCAGTGTTGGCTACATATATATTTAGAGTTGTTATATCCTCTTGTTGAATTGACCCCTTTATCACTATATAATGACTTTCTTTGTCTCTTTTTACAGGTTGTGTGTTGAAATCTATTTTATATGATAGAAGTATAGCTACGCCTGCTCTTTTTTGGTTTCCATTCACATGAATTATCTTTTTCCACCTCTTTATTTTCAGTCTATGAGTATCTTTATAGATGAAGTGGGTTTCTTGCAAACAATATAAATTTGGCTCTTGTTTTTTTATCCATTCAGCCACTCTGTAGCATATTCAAACCTACTGACCTCAAACCTACTGAGTTTTCCACTCCACAAGTTGTTCTCGGTCTTTAGGGTATTTGGAATCCTCTGTAGAGCATTCATAATGTCCTAGGTTCTACCTCAAATCTAATGAAACAGAATGTGTCACTACTTAGGTAATTCAGACAAGCAACAAAGTTGAGAGCCATTGCAGTTTACCTAAAATACTGTTTTCTTCATATGAAAAGAATATAGCAAATTTCTCTCCTCAGTTTTTTAAAATTCATTTCTCTTTGTTTTTGTTAGATTATATTGTTGGTTTTTAATGTACCGCAATCCAATTTGGGGGACATTTTCACCATAGCACTAATTTATTACCACAATCATTCTTCCCTTTGCTTTCTTCCCTTTTAATAGTTCCAAATTCTATTAGATGTTGAGATGAGTCAATAAGTAAATATAAAAATTGAATAGGAAAAATGAGATACAGAATGATTAAAACTAGAATGTCTAAATAATTACAAAGATTTTGGCAGATATAATAGTTTAATTAGTCTAGAAAAATAATTTAATAGTTCATTAGTAGTGTAATTAGTCTTAGGAAGAAGCACATTTATTGAAAACTCTCCATTACTCAGGTACTATACTAAGCTCTTTACATGTACTGTCTCATATAATCTTAGCATTAATCCATAAGGAAATATTATGATTATCTCTACAAAAAGAGAAACTAAGTCAGAGAGATTAAGTAATTTGGTTATGGTCACACAGTAACTTCAAGAATTTATAAATTGGAATCATTGACAAAGATGTCCAATGCCAAAGTACTTGTGTGTCTCCTTACACAAAGCACTGAGTAAATATAAATACTTCTAGAAGTCAGCAATATTGGGTACAAAGAAGACCAGCATAGATGGCACTGGGCTGCTTTCAAATCCTGTATTTTACATTAACTCAGTTTATCAAGAGTACTGGCTCTCCTGGTGATTTTCTAGAAATTTTAATTTCAAAATTTGACACGAGGCGGGCAGCCCGAGAGAAGGCTGGGGAAATGGCAGCCTCCTGGAGGCTGGGCTGTGCACCGCGGCTGCTATGCTACCTCCTCGGCTTCTCTGTCCACCGAAGAGTAGGGCTGGCTAGGGGGCTGCTGGTTGGTCCTCCGGCCGCGCAGCTAGTTGGAGATGGTTTCACAGCACGCAATGGTTTCAAGTTGATCCCATTAAGATACTAATGCCATCACTGTTTCCTATAATGGAAGAAGGGAACATTGTGAAATGGCTGAAAAAGGAAGGTGAAGCTGCGAGTGCTGGTGATGCGTTATGTGAAATTGAGACTGACAAAGCTGTGGCTACCTTACATGCAAATGATGATGGCATCTTGGCCAAAATAGTGGTTGCAGAAGGAACTAAAAATATATGACTAGGTTCACTAATTGGCTTGATGGTTGAAGAAGGAGCAGATTGGAAACACATGTTGAAATTCCCAAAGATGTAGGTTCTCCATCACCTGCTTCAAAACCATCAGTGCCTCGCCCCTCACCAGAACCACAGATCTCTATACCTGTCAAGAAGGAACGCACACCCAGGACACTGCAGTTCCGTTTAAATCCAGCTGCCCACAATATTCTGGAAAAACATGCACTGGATGCCAGCCGGGGCACAGCTACTGGCCCTCGGGGGATATTCACTAAAGAGGATGCTCTCAAACTGGTCCAGCTGAAACAGATGGGCAAGATTACTGAGTCCAGACCCACTCCAGCCCCTGTAGCTACCCCGACAGCACCTTCACCTCCACTGGCCGCAGCTGGACCATCCTATCCTCAGCCGATGTTCCCAGTATCAACTGGTTTTTTTTTTTTTTTTTTTGAGACAGAGTCTCGCTTTGTTGCCCAGGCTAGAGTGAGTGCCGTGGCGTCAGCCTAGCTCACAGCAACCTCAAACTCCTGGGCTCAAGCAATCCTGCTGCCTCAGCCTCCCGAGTAGCTGGGACTACAGGCATGCGCCACCATGCCCGGCTAATTTTTTATATATATATATTAGTTGGCCAATTAATTTCTTTCTATTTTTATAGTAGAGACGGGGTCTCGCTCAGGCTGGTTTTGAACTCCTGACCTTGAGCAATCCGCCCGCCTCGGCCTCCCAGAGTGCTAGGATTACAAGCATGAGCCACCGCGCCCGGCCTCAACTGGTTTTTAATACCCCTTTTGCACAGCACCAGAGGTTAAAAATAAAATAAACTCTGACTAACCAAATATTCTCTTTTTTTTATTTATAGTCATTTATTTGTTTATCGTTTATTTGTTATCGTCATTTATTAGTTTATCGTCATTTATCACAACCTAATGCAGTGGGCACATTCACTGAAATCCCTGCTAGCAATATTTGAAGAATTATTGCCAAGAGGTAACTGAGTCTAAAAGTACTGTGCCTCATGCATATGCTACTGCTGACTGTGACATTGGAGCTGTTTGAAAAGCTAGGCAAGATCTGGGCAAAGATGACATTAAAGTATCAGTAAACGATTTCATCATCAAGGCAGCAGCTGTTACCCGTAGACAAATGCCAGATGTTAATGTAAGCTGGGATGGAGAGGGCCCAAAGCAACTGCCCTTTATTGACATTTCAGTGGCTGTGGCAACAGATAAAGGTTTAATTACACCAGTCATAAAAGATGCTGCTGCTAAGGGTGTACAGGAAATCGCTGACTCTGTTAAGGCACTGTCAAAGAAAGCAAGAGATTGAAAATTGTTACCTGAAGAATACCAAGGAGGATCTTTTAGTATTTCCAACTTGGGGATGTTCGGCATCGATGAATGTACCGCAGTGATCAATCCACCTCAGGCCTGCATCTTGGCTGTTGGGAGATTTCGACCTGTGCTGAAGCTCACTGAGGATGAGGAGGGGAACGCCACACTACAGCAGCGCCAGCTTGTAACAGTCACAATGTCCAGTGACAGTCGAGTGGTCGATGATGACCTGGCAACCAGGTTTCTTGAAAGTTTTAAAGCAAACCTAGAGAATCCTATCCTACTTGCCTAGTCCTCAAAGATGAGAAGTTGGTCTTTGGCTTAGTTAATTCAGTAGCTGTTACCAAGAAACGTAACATTATAGAAAA